GGAATGCCCAAGTTCTAACCTCAGAGTTGCACTGAGACAAATGTCCCAGTGTGAGGATGCAGTAGCTTTTCAGAACACTTATTTTCTTCTGGACTGCAGAAAGCTATGTTCTTTCTTTTTAGAAAACCAGATAGGATGGAATAAATCAGAATCGGAGTAAGGCAGTCTTCCCGTCCTATCAGAAAATCAGTGGAAGAGCTGAGGTGATTTCTAATTGTCTGCATGTCAACTACCAGACCATTCTCTTTGTTTCATGAAGCACGGTAACCCTAGTGCTCAGACACAGCGGGTATCAAATAACCTTAATCTCTACAATTTTGACTGAAAATATCCTACCTCTGTTCTGTGAACCATCACCCAGTTTCCATCTCCAGTCTGCTTGTGGAATTCCAGATAAGGATCTGACTTTCCAAAGAAGTCCTGTATTTGAAGAACATGTAATTATCCCAGAACAGCCTGTAGCATGAATGCCATTAAACGCTAGTTAAAACACACTCAGATTAACAAAAAGTAAACTAAATATTCAAGAACCAAAAGCTTTAGATGAAGAAATGCAAGTCTGATTATATTGCCACCTGTGAAAGAGAAAAACTAAAAACGGGGCATGTCTGTCAATTCAGGATAAAAGTTCTGCAGTGTCCAAATATGAAATACCTGACAGTTCACACACAAGAATAATTATACTAATAAGTACCATGATGGATAGTTAGAAAACTAAGGATTTCATCCAGTTCAAAACAGTATCATTGAATTGATGGGAGAAAATAAAAGTTAATGATGGGAAAAAAAAGGTTTTTTTAAATTTTGTTTTTAAAAGTTATTCTAAATACAGTATTTTTAGCCAACCCCAAAAGATTTAACGTAACAGATTTATAGACTCCAAGTACATTCCATACCACTTATTTCAGAGAGCTAACAGGCAACTATTGATACAACTATTCAAACCAATGTATATACCAAAACTCCCTTATCATTATAATAAAATGTCAAGATTTACATTTAAATAGAAACATGCTATTCACGCAATATCCCTGCAAGTCTTGTTTATAAACATGTTATAATCCATTTTAAAACAGTGAAGTTACTCTGAAGAAATCTTTCTTCAATTTTTTTTAGTGTAAGAAAAATCTTAATGGATTTAATTATTTCATCAAAAAAAATAAGAAAAGAACGTTTTAATGTTTCCTGTTGTGACAGGATTCTGATTTTACTACTTTATCAAAGAAACAGCAATCACTTAACTACCTTATTGTCCAGTTTCCTTGCTTCTACTTCCAGTACAACCACCCTGTTATCCTTCACTTCTTCTGCTGTAATCTAGATAGGCAAACAAAAAATCCAAGTTTCGTATTCATTAACTATATAATTTTCTCATATTCACAACACTTCTATGACAGGTCCATTAAAAAAAGAAAGAAGTTATGTTTGCTCACAAAAGAAGCGAGGTGGGGGGAAGGAGGAACAATCTGATTTGACGCTGGTAATCACTAGATGACCATACAGACAATTACAGATACTGCCCAAACAGTAGCCCATCGGATGCCCTCATTATTTTGATGGATGCAACGAGACTTACAGAGGCAGAAGGTGGGCTGCTCTCCTTGTGGGTGACAAAGAAATATTAGTGGAGGGGAAAAAAAAAATGCTTTAAGACACTTCTCATGGCACTGTAGATTAGACACACAGTGGTCAAGCTACTAACCAACTTTAAAAAAAAAAAAAAAAATCACAAAAACATTAAGGTTAAACGCTAAAGAGATTTACTGTCTTACCGTAATACTTCCTCTTCCAGCAGGTCTGCCATTTTTAAGCACTAATGGTTTTGTTAGAGTCCTGCTAGAAACTATCTGCCAAGACAAAAAAAAGAGTATCAAGCATTATTAGCTCAATTTCACAGATTTTCAAAGGAATGAAATGAGATACTGAGGTTTTTAATTTTAGGAATTTTTCCTTCATCATGAAACTGACAGCATTACATTTATTCCCCATGGTCTCCTATAAATAAATTGATAATACTTGATACACTTTAAAATTTAAACACACATATGCAGATGAACATATGGAGAGTTTCAGGAGCCATATGAAATAAAATGTCTCGTAACATGATACACTTACATGGAAAACATTAATACCTTAAGTTCCAGTCTCAAGTTGTTCTGAGTTTTTCATACATACCATTCAAACACATGCAAACCATGTTTCATAAATGGCTTCAGCAAACAGATTTATAAACACAATGTTTGTCAGGTAAACAAATATCACCCTGCAGTGTTTCTAGTCTATTTTATTTTAAGCCTCTTCAGGCAATGCTTTCTCAGAAGTGTGTCTGCTCATTCTACAGGTCCTTCTTTAATTTAAGAATGAATGATTCATTTTAAATTGTCACTGAATTTCATTTCACAATGCCTCCATCTTCATAATGCACTTCAAATAAAAATACTTTAGACACAGAGGAGGAAAAATCCCAGTAAGACTCTCCTGAGAAGAAGTGCCTTCGAAGGACCTATCTGAAAGAACACGTTAAGAAGAAGGTACCCGATTGTGATAGCACCAATAGCAGAATTTGACAGGGAAATGGGTGTGAAATCAACAGTGGGCAGAACCAGAATCACCGCTTGCCCTGAGTGGAAAGGTTAACATGGCCCTTGTGAACATTCTCATGTCGCCGTACACTAAATTCTGTTTTATGGAGCATAAAAATACAGATTTGAGTATTAGATTAAATAAACAGCATTTCATGTTCACCGAAAGCCCACTTATTTCAGACAGCAATCTGGACTGTCACCATTCTAGAGTATTCAGGGCATCACCTCAAGACCTTTTGCAAATAAAATGTATAAACACTGAGGGTTGAGAAAATAAATGAAGGGAACCCTATTCAACTTGAGAGCACCCCAACTACATAAGAACACAGTGACAAACTGAAGATAAAAGCGGTTAAAGGTTTGCATTACCTTACGTTTTCTTAATTCTAAGGGAAATCACCCACATACTTACTTGTCCCAGTGTACATTCAAATTCTCCTAAGAAGTCATCATCGCTCAGATCAAAGGTTCTGTTATCGATGTCATATATCCCAAATTTAAGTTTCTGAACAAGCTCAAAATAGTAATCAATTAGGAACTTCTTGCTGAACTTTGGATTCAAGGAATTCTTAACTCTTTCTGTGCGATCAACCTGCAATTAGAAAGATACCACTTTATCCAGTATTTCACCAACCAAACAAGTACTCAAAACAAGTAACATATATTAAAGACTTTCAGAAGTTCTTGTTCGTATAAAGCCAGATCTTCCTTCAAACCTTTCACCAATTATACATAACTGCATGATATTATAAAACTCACTGCGTAAGTCAGATATTTGAGGACCTATTTTTCTTTGGTCCGTGTAAGAAGTATCTATTTCTGCATAAGGAAGACCAACGTAAAAATGGTGCATTATCAAATCCAGGATGAGGCCCTAGTTTTGGAGTACTGTATCTATAAAAGCATACTTAAACGCTTAGACGGCTTCTTCTGTTGGTCCACACATGGCTAAAAATCAGACAGGTGTAAGCATTTATTAGAAAACATAGACATAATCTAATGAAAAGTATTCAGAGGTGCTGGTATATAATTCAAATATTTTAATGAAATCAAACTCCAGCATTTCAAAAGGCCCAACAAGTCAGACTGTGTTTTTAGCACATTCATGAGAAGCATCACACTGTACCTCATACCACTGCTGAGCACTCGTGTTCTGGAGAAGCACGCACAGCGGGTCTGACTTGGAACCGACATCTTTATCCAAGAGATGGGTGCAGGCAACAGTCAGCTCCACCTTTGTCACACACTGTGCCGCCATTTGTTAAGCTAGAAAGCAGCAACAGAAATCATGATTTTAAAAATGGGACTAAAAAGCAAACAATGGGATTGGCACAACACATTAAATCGCTGACTGATCATTAGAATTGCTAGCTTGTCGTGAGAGAGATTCGAGGCTCCAAATGTAAACAACATTACAGTATTTATGGCCTACTCTTGGCTTTGACACATAGGTATAAAATTTCATTTCAAAATCTGCACATAAGAAAAAAACATCAGGTTTCTTAGAATACTTGAAAAACCAAATGGCAAACAGGACACACCACAAAGAAAGCACAATGGTTTGAACTGCTTGACTTTGCAAGCTTTAACTTACATCCTGCGAAGCTGACATGAACACCAGTATCTTATAAAGTAGAATTCAATAATTAAATTAATAAGAAAAAAAATCGTACAATATACTCCCCCACCTAACCTTTGTAACAAAAAGCTGAAGCCATGCACATGGCAGAACTGGAAATGGAGTTTAAGTGGGTAACAGGAACAGGTGATCTTGCTTTAGTAAATCTTCAAAACAACTACAAATTTTAATAATAGGGATAAACAACCCTGACATCTAACAACAACTCAGGATTAGGAGGAAGTGTTCTTTCTGGAGGTCCGTTTGAAAAAAGAACAACTGAACGCTTTCTCACTTCACATGTTGCCTCTCCATCTCTCTCCGTTCTGCTGCCTTAGAGATGGACCTTTCAGAGACTGAAGTAAATATAAATTACCTGTAAAGGAACCACTTAAACATCCACGAGCACACATTATTGTTAAGAAGCATGTCAAATTCATGAAAATCTTCCTGCACCTCCCAAACACCTAACCATGATTCCATCTTTGAATATCTTTTGCTCCCATGACTTTACCAACTTTCAGTCATTGTTCTTGAGGAAAAAAAAAAGTGAGGCTCTGAGTTCTAAGTATTAATTGGTTTTCAGTCTTAGAAAGCATACCTTTAAAGTGCAGTTTGCCCACTTTTTCCTGGTTCTCTTTTTATACTGGTATTTTCCATTCCCTATTGCCTTCCTGGCTGCCAGACAGAGCTCATTAACAGGCAGTGGCTTAGCCCACAGAATCCAGTGCAGACCAGTGCACAGCTCCTTAATAGCTGTTTCCAGAAAAACAACTTTCTGCTGACAAAACGATGCTCTAATACCCACTGATGCTGCAACAGCAAGTAGAAAGAGTTTTCATGACATTCAACAGAATTCAAACTTGAGTTGGGACATAGTTTTCAAGAGTCAAAATTTTCTTGCTCTAACTTCCCCGAAACTCCTCATTATGACAAGTTTCTGAAAGGACTTGCAACCACACTTCTTTTGTTAAAGTAATGTTTCCAAAATCACTACTAAAGCATAGCATCTAGTCAACCTAAAAATCTGGTCACCTTTTTCTACTTAGCCTGTACGCATGCGAGCATATCCCACTTCTCTTACATCCCAGGTACTTTGTCACACAAATACACCAATTCTGTTACTTCCTCACCTCCTCCACACGTCACCGACTCTCCCACTATGCACCTCATGTGGGAAAAGAGCAGATTTAACAAAAAAAGGTGCTGTGCAAAAAGCATCCTTTAACACACAGAGAAAAAGAAAGAATAAAAAAGCTGCTTGCCTTCCCTGAAACGCTAATGCTCTTATTTGAGATGTAGTAATTGCATCCATATTAGATAAAAAACAACTCATAACAAGAAGATGCATTTATCCAGGTGGATCTTCAGTTTGAAACCCAGATACAAAAGAAAAAGTGCACAGATCGTGAGACAGTCCTTTAATCTCTTCCTTTTCCAGTTTTGTAAAATTCGAGATAAAAAAATAACACAAGGCATTTTCCTCCAAGGTTTTGAGCCTATGAGGAATCAGTATTTGTATAATGGGTTGAAGAGGTCTGTAATACTTTTAATGCATTTCAAGAAATAATTTTGCTATTTTACTTGAAAAAAGGCAATAGCATTACCCATAATACCAGAAGACTGACACGTTTTACAGTAAATAGTTATACACAACCTGATTTTCAGTAACATTATAAACATTAAAAGTCAGTTAAATGCTTATTAGTGAGAATGAGTCATATCTCACTAACCTAAAATGGTATTTATGATAGCGAAACTCATTACAGCAGAGACTTCTCTTACGACACTGCAGTCATTACAGAATTTGCAGAGGGCAGACAGATGCTTCGCAGATCTGAACTCCAAAGTCCTTTCAACAGCAAGAGCTATCGGAGCGCCACAAATGCTGCACAAATCCTCATAATCCCATACTGCAAAAAAGGAAGAATGACTCCACCTCCACCCACTTCTCACCTCTGAAAGCCTGTGTTAGCTGAAAACTTTCAAAACAGGTTTGGCAAGTGGGCGGTAGGATTCCTAAAGATGATAAACATCCTCAAGGATCAGAGTCACTGTCAGGTAAGTAAGCATGCTCTTTTTGAAGATCTGATGGAATAGAGAGTCTGGCAAGCTGCAGTCTCTTCAGGATGGTGGAAATAAGAAATCATGGCTGCACTAGTGCATTATGTCTGGAATTAGTACTCTACAACACACTATCGGATCTAGGAGGCAAATCAGATGCAAAATATTCCAGATGACTGGACTACTTGCAGATTTGGGATACTGGACAGATGATATTGTCTGGGCTCTGGCAGGATGAGCCTTGCTGCCAGTAAGTTACATAACAAGAGACTTATTTATTCAATGTGTTATTGTTATGAAAGGAACTGTGTTCCCCGTTGGCCAAATGTAATTAAAACCTCTGTTTTTCTCAAGCTATCAACTGTTTGTCCTCCACGTAGGGTACACCATGAAGCAGGGTAAAGCACACCAGAAAAGGGCCAGATGACAGCTCAGTAGTTCTTTCTATTGGAATAATTTTTAAGGCCACAGGAGCATATCAGGCCTTAATAAAGAATGCTGGTAATTCTGGACAGAAGACTGAAAATTACTATACAAACTGTAGGGCAGACCTTCTGACATCCAGACTCTGAACTGTAGCAATGTACAGTCACAAGGGAGATCCTTGTTCCTGATCCTATGCCTTGTCTGGGCCACTGAAGAGCATGATTAGGTCAACTAAGTACATTACAAGTCCTTCTGCTTTAGCTGTCTTTATCAAAGCAGAACTGTAAGTCAAGGACCAGTCTTGTCCTTGGCACCACAACATTCTTAGAATCCTGCTAATGATTCTACTGAAGGAACGTGGCATCCAACAAATAACCCATCCAACGCCTGCTGTTCAACAGAAATCGTTAACACGGCATTCAGCTTGGAAAGGACCAGACCAATCCAAATAATCTTCTAACAGAGCACTTGGTAACCATCAGGCTGCAGCAATCCTGTCAATGCTGCGATACCAGAGGAGACTACAGATTTGCCCAGGTAACATTCCAGAGCAGTACAATGATATGTTGATGGCTATAGGCGCTTCCCAATCTGACAAGCAGAAATACCCAACTACAAGAAGACAAAAAGACCAGCTGGGCTTGGTATCAATGCCTTTAGTCACACATCTCAACCCTGTTCTGATGTAAGCTATTGCTGTCATAGAACATTTCCTAGTTCCTGGCAACTACGAATGACTACAGACCAAAAATACATATTCTATAGTTACCTCAGGGCCCAGATGGACACAGAAAAAGCAGGGGAAACATTTCAGACCTTGCTAATAAAGTTTATTCCTTAGGAGTTTATTTCTAGCTGTAAAGTTACACTTGAGCACCTTGTAAACTGTGTGCCAGACTAAAACAGTCAGTACCACCTACCAGCAGTGCTCCAATCCTTATTTCCCATGAACCTGGGCAGATGATAACGTGGGAATAAATTAATTATTCAGTCAGAGTACAAAAACGCAAGTCTTGAACCAAGCCTAAACCTGAAACAATGCACATGAGGCGTCACTGTCCTGAACATTCAGTGTAAGCATTTGCTCAGTCCCTGCTCTTTCAGGCAGGATTAGGACACCATTTCTTGCAAATAGAAAATTTTGTGGTAAAGATCTCTAGGCCTGTATTCCTTAGAATCTCTTTTACTGAATCTCAGATCAAGCAGTAACACCCCTGCTTGCAACAGCCTTTCACAAGAGGAGTTCTGGAGAAAAGCTGGACAAAGATGGACAAAACAAGGTTTAAATGAAATTAACCTGGGAGACAACATCCATCTGACAATACAACCTGCTCGATCCACAATCTCAGCCTAGTCTTCCAGCACCTCTTTATGGCAGCTGTGTATGCTAAAAGCAGAGAAGACAACATATTCCTGGAAAACACCACATCTGCTGCTAGAAGACAACAATGGAATTATGACAAATGGATCCTTCCTTCTACTGATGGGGCAAAACAATTTCTAGTGGCCTTGGACTATGTGTACAGAAGTGTATACTTTAAAAAAAACTCAAGGTAACCCTTCAGTTCTCAAGGAAACAGACCCCCTCACAGGAGCCGACGTTTTATATCTAGTTACAAAGGCTAAGACTGTTTCATAACCTAATTTCATCACTGCATTTAAAAATTAGACGCTTCTCTAAAGAGCATACCTCTAAATCTGAATTCTGGTACCTCTCTTTCTCTTTACATAGAATCATAGAATGGTCAGG